ATTGTTTTTCATTTTTCTTTTCATTTTTTTATAAAATTAGTTTTTTGTAAATACCAGGACATTAATAACTTGAGCTTGATATATAATAATATACTACAGTATATTTCTAACTAACAAGCTCATTCTCTTTCTCTTGACAACTGAAGAAAGAAAACATTTTGGGGTCAACTTGAAAGAAAAGCAGATGTGAAATGTGAAAGTAAGGTCAGAGGTCAAATGTAACATGATATTTGGATGCCCATACACCAGTATCATTTCCTTAATACAAACAAAGACAGACAAATTTTAATCACCGTTTTGAAGATAAAAGCCATTTATGACAATTTGACCTCATTTGACCTTGATGAAGAGGTCAAAGGTCCAAGGTAATGTGATATTTCCAATCCCCATATATCACGTACTACATGCAGATGTGATTTAAATACAGGCACTGGCAGTAAGAAACATACTTTTAAATCCTGCTATATGGCATTAATATCACTTTGACCTGTAGATGAGTTTGTTGACACTGAAGGAGAGGTCAGAGGTCAGATATGATGGGATATTAGAAATCCTTATACAACACGTTCTATATGTTGACAATAAGCACCACAGTTATAGTTACGTTCTAGTGCTAAGGTTTTTTTGTCAACTTTTGACCAATATATCATTAAGGTGACCTTGAAGAACTCAGTGGATGGAAGCCTAATTTTAATGGATGTTAATATAACCCCACTCTGCACACCTAGCAGATATTTTAGAATTATTAAAAACGTTTTGAACTATCGTATTTACAGACAGAATGACTGAATGACATGCAAACCCTACAAAAAGATAACCTCCTTGGCGCCGATAATGATGTGTAGCTCGAGTCTTCTGCACAGAACTGTGTTTTCTATTCATTTGGATAGAAAACACAGTATGGGCGCTTATTTTAAAATAAACAACTTAATGTGATTCATATTTCCCCATCAAAAATTACTCAAACAAGTCAACACAGTTCGCCTTACAGCCGTAAAAATAGTCAGTCGTGTTAACCCAGATTATTTTAAATGTATTGCATCCATTTAGTTTGAGTTTTAACAGCATATGAGTCAAATATTACGCATTCACAATAGTTTGTATTTGTTTTTGGCAAGTAAATATGCATCACATTAAACCTGTGAATTTAAACAATTGCTAAATAAATTATTGTAATTAAAATGTATAATCTCAAAAAATCTTCCATAACATTTCGTCATTACATATTACATGCTCTTTTGCCAAAGTTTCTTTGAGAATAATATTGTAGGTTAGCAACCCTAAGCAGTCACAATTAAACAAATGCGGTGTACCACATTAACACTAATTAGAACAGACTTTAAATTCATCAAGCCACTTAGCCAGCACATGAATGTAAACAAAGTAATTAGCGTACCTGTGCAGAGGACGCGGTAAAGTTGACATCACATCGTTTGCACCTTGCAAAGTCTTGATTAACGCAATCAACCCACAGGAGCCAAGTGGCCCCAAGGTCACAGTCATGCATCTTTTGTCCCAAGATTCATTAACGAGGCGATAAGCCGTTTATAAATGTGGAAATGAAAAGCAAAAAGAATCCTTAATCAGTGGGTGATTAAGAAATGCTGAAAATGGCATAATGGGCACTTTGGATTGTGTCATCAGTGACCTGTAATGATCTCTGAACCACCGCTCACTTTGTGTTGGTGTAAATCTTCAAAGACTGTCTCCTGGGCAAATTGTAAATCACTAACTATAGGCACTGTGGGATGATTTGCCCAACAAAAAAATACACCGGTGCTAAAACTCAAGTGATTAAACACAGATTATCTTTTGATTGGCAGTGGCATTGGAGTAATGTTTCAGCTGAGAGAGATGGTGTTTTAAGGTTCTAATTTAGTTTAACCAATGCTAGCAAAAGATATTACTTTAATCAATCCTTTATCTGATCGACCCATTTGAAAATAAATGGTTCCATTTGTGTGTAGTTTCACATTTGATTAGCTCTGCAAATAGAGAACGAAAACAATACTGAACAAATTAGCAGACCACCCTATTGGCCACTTTTCATCAAAGCACCACAGACAAAATACTCCATGTTCTATGTAAACAAATATTATTTATTTAAGAATTTACTGATGTTTCAAAAGCTGCCACATGTCTAAAAAACTGTTAAAATCATGTTATGGTAAATGCAGGATTATTAAATTAGATGCTTTAAGAAGTATGGAAGGCAAATTTATTTATTTTGTGTTTATTTCACAGTTTATTTCCAGGCTATGTAAACCATAGATGTTTGATAGAATATGCAATCAGCCAGCGCATACAGCTTGTCAGGCCTCGGCTTGAATATTTTGACTGTCACCAGGTTGCTGTGTTTAAACTGGGTATCACAGTGAGGAGTGGATCTTACTGAGAAACCAAACACTGCATGCAGTGGCATGTGGACCCCAAATTATACCAAATTTGATTGTCTTTCTAACTCTAATTTGGTCTCTGATGTACAAAATGACCTATCAGGAATTGAAGCAATCAAACAAACAGGTAACCACCTACAACTGAAGAGAGACGCCCTTGTACTGATTGTAACTAATGTGGCTAAACACCACACAAGTTACGAGTTCACCTAGTTAACAACATTCGCAAATGATGAGACCAGAGATTTAATCCACTACCACACTCTGACATGTACGCAAACCCGGGAAAACCACCAAACTTAATACACTAAAAACACAAATAAGTGTTTGAACAGAGGCCAGCCAAGATACCCAGTTTGCTCAGTTTGCTTAACATGAGTAGCAAGTAAACTCAGACATGTATCGTAAGTAAAATGTTTGCAAAGAAGGTGCTAAACCAAAAACCTCCTTGTGATCGCTGTGGATACAAGCAGATTTCTGTGGTTGCCTGTTGTTTGTATGAAAGACACCAACTTGTCTGCAAACTGTTGCTATTTTACCTAATGAGCTGTATTTAAATAAATGTGTAACAGACACTGCTTGCCTTCAAAGTAAAAGCTCTGCCTTACCAACACTTAAAAAAAATCAGCTTTTACTTTGAAGTTCTTCATTTCTAGTTTTCGTCGCATTTTTCAAAGTTTAATTGCTACTTTACTTTTAGTTTGCTTGCTTCTGGAGACAAGTAACCTCCAAAAACATCTTACTGGCTGTCCACATTTGGAATACATACTTTTTCCTAGCAACGACTCAGGTGACAGCAACACAAAGAATCTGACTGGTTTTCTATATAGTCTGCTTGGATACGTTAACTGTAGCTAACTGGTAAAATGCACTCTCACTGTCTCTGCTCCGTTAAGTCCTCCACTCCTTACCTTCTCTATCTTGCGTTTTGATATTTTGAAGTGGAGTAACAGGGCACGCATACTTATGTGATATGGAAACATTGTCCACTTGCAAAGATGCATCTCCCCTCTAATTTGCTCCACCTAGAGCACATCGGGCTCCATTTCCTTCCATGCGTTTGCATTTTTATTGAAAACAGTGCACGGCCTCTGAAATTTTCTGCGTTCAGTCAAAGCACACACAGTTTGAGAAGCGGGATTTAGACCAGTAAGTCACAGGTCCAATTACCTTTCATGTTGGATAACTTGAGGTGTGAAATTAAAATCAGCATTTTCCCTTGCCTAGCTTTCATTGGTATGCCCCTAAAAGGGTGCTCCAGTGATGCTGCTAGACCCTCACATGTGTGGCGGTGAACTGTACTTGTGATGTGAAGCTTCCAGGTCTGAATATATGGGAAAGAAGCACTGTGTCTCGCAGAATGAGCCAATTTTCTCCATCTTTAAAAGGTTCAGCTAATTTCTTCTACTCACTGCCTCACATTTAACCACTGAATGCATGTGGCTAATTGTACCTGCACTGTATTAACTTGGGTGATTAAGTCTGTCATACTGAGTCAGCTGTCTGTATCATTTCAGATAAATCATGGATGCACACCCCAGAAGCTTTGGCCAAGCATTACATAGCCTACAATGCCAAGGTAGGTATCTCTCTTTGCCTGCTACATTTTAATGAGCTCTGTCAGAGCAGGGCGACTGCAAAATAATGAAACAACGAAGAACTGTGACACTTTTATTGCAGGTTGAAAAAAAAAAGTCTGTTCTTTTGTGGCTCCCACCTTTGTCTGTGTTTATTCCCTCCAGTCATGCCTGTTAAACCTCTCTGTCTGTGTGTCCCACAATGCAGTTCCCCTGATAAACACCAGGCCTTTCATTGCACACTCTGGTATTGTCCAGCAAATGAGCTTCACTGCCCATAGATGCATTGTTTTAGGTTGAGGCTGCATAAAAATTCCTGACAGAGACGGCTGATAAACCTCAGCCCCTCTCCTCAATGTAACAATAATTTGGATTTTTAATGGTGTTTAAATTAATTCCCTGCCCAGCACACCTCAAGTACTGTCAAAAAATTGATACCGTTGTATTCGTCTCTCATAGCAGCTGTTGTCTCTCGGTGCTGTGATGCGGGGAAGGAAATCTTCCTCATCAAAGTTTAATTTGAAGGAGACTGTGTGTCTTTTAGCCTTCTTGATTTGTTTATTTTTAATGAGTGTGTGAACAGAGAGGGATTTAAGCAAAGTGGCACATGCACACACAAAATAGGTAAGAACTCTGGATCTGATGCAGGACTAACTTGTAATGAAATGGCTCTCAGGCTTGCCTGGAATCAGGATCTGTTAGAAAACACTCGGAAAAAAGGTGTTTTTCAAATATCCAGCAAACACCCCTGGAAGGAGGGACTGTGTCCCTTGGGGAGGACTCCCCTGTCAAGCTGGTTTTCTGCTTCATTTCGACAGAGTTTTCCTCCTATGAGGCACAAAATCTGTCAGCCTACATTCTTGTGCTTCACAAATGCGATGCTGGAACGGAGGTGGAACTCCAAGACTGCCTCCAAAATATCCCTGCAAACTGCTGAAGCTCCCTTCCTGCATGCAGCAAAGAAGCAAAGGAAGCCGGCAGAAGGCACATCTCTAAAATCAAAGCACATTGTCAGTTCCTATACTCGCTGTATTGCTTTGAGTGATGAGATCCCCGTCTGGTTAAATTTGCTGAGATCTGAGTAAAGGGCTCATCAGTGAAGGAATTGGGGGGGGAAATGCTGAGAATGTGCTTGGCATGATCTCCCAGGTTTCGAGCACTCAGCACTGTAAAAATAAGCTCAGTTAGCAGTTCACTGAACAATGTGCCAGATAGTTAGAGCAGAGAAAGAGAGAGCTCTCTTTTAGCCTCAAGAAAATGAACCTTTTTTCTTTATTTTCAAACGTTTACAAAGACGTAAAATCTTTGATAACTTCACTCATTTCGATTTGACGGCACTTCAAAACTTTCATGAACTGAACCTGAGATCAAATCCTAACTGTGATATAACAAGAAAATACTAGAATTTGACTCGATAAAATCTGAATTTCTTGGAGGAACTACACCACACAGTAGACAAAAATAACTATAAATAATGTTTTGAAACCTAGCGGCATCACAAACATGATCTAATATCTTATATTGTTAAATGCGACCTAGCAGACAGCTACAAACTACAGCTCCTTTTCAGAACACCTGCCAATCAAAGTAGCCACTCCCCTAAACTTTATCTCTGGCAACGATACATCACCCACCACGATGCCCCTGGTGTAAATGTAGGCTGAAAAATAACTTTAGTATTGCGTGCAGGTGATAATAAGCTAATTGGAACTAAAACTGGTGACTGATGGCTGATTCAAGCGTGCTCATTTGTTTTATGGTTTAAGATCCTTCGGGTAAAGACTGAATTGGGAATACACAGAAGATGGACTT